AATTTAAATTACACAATCGTTGTCTTTATAATGTCCACACACTGTTTTCCCACAGAATATTCCAGTTCATCCATTCTACAATTGGAATGGAATGAAATACTTCCTATACACAATATTTCTATATCAGGTACATCAGAGATGTAACATTCACGTTTAATACACAGAAGCCTATAAAAAATAAGCGATGGCGTATTTATATTATTATGTGTATCATGTGTCATCCACATGATTTGACCGCTAACCTCATATAAATACCACGAATAGCGTTGTTGTTCCCCGGTAGCGGTCAATACAAAAGAACACCGAAAACACGGGTGTTGCACTGATTGTATTGTACATCGAGTATAAATCAATGTTACTTGTCGTGTTTTTATTACACAAGTACACTAGATAAAGCATGGGTCAGGTAGGCCGTGTATTCGTATTGACCCTGTTATGTTTTTTCTTAATGAAAACAACGATGATCGACGAAAACAACCACTGTATTTGCCAGTAAATTGTGAACTGAACTTCCAGTGCCAGAAGCATCAATTGAACGTATATTTGTGATTGAGTTTACGGCCCTTATATTGTGAGGACGCATTATTAGTGTTAGTTTTATAGTTGATTCTGCAATTACGCACAGCAAAAGAAAACGTTACCATTGTTTTCGGCTCACGGAAAAGTCAACCAAAATTAAAGTGTTTTTCACTTTCCCGATGCACGTTGGGTTTATATAGGCTCCCAGAGGAGTTGGGCAGTTTTAAGTTTGACTCAGTATACGCCCAATCGACCAGGTTATTAATTTGTAGCACTCTTCGCCAAGGTTATACTCTATTATTGTATAAGTGGATTAGATAATGCTATATCCTCATTAACAACAATGTGACTACTATTTTATTCAGTGTAATGTCAGAACTACGGTGTCATTGATTTACTGTAAAACAATTTATTATCACTGCATTTAATTTCACTATTTTTGTGTTTTGAGCATGTTCACTGTATTTTAATTTCAAGAGATTACAAGCAATGAATTGTATTGTTATTGTACATGTTCATGTACATTTGATTTAGAGGATTTTACTTCTCAGCGAAAATAGCGAAATTTAAACCCAGTGACTAATTAATGTGTTTACAGTATCTAACCATTATATAACTCATAATAATCATTGGATCGGTTCCCATAAAGCAAAAACAAATCTATCCCTTCCCATCTGACAAATTAACTCTAAAGTGGGCAGAATCCAAGTCGGTTCTTTTGCTTCAACAAATTTGACATTTATTACATGATGGAATGAATCAATTCTTTTGGGGTTTATTAGTGAAGTCTGATTTCACGTTTTCGTACAAGGGCTACCTGTAGTGGTCTCAAATATAGGCACAGTATCAGATGACCAAAGATTTCGGGCTCGTTAATTTGACAAACCTTGAGCTTTTTAGAGTTTGTTACAATATATTTCATGATCGTTTCTGACAGTTTAAAGTATGCACACACCACGTTATATATATATATTATATCATCTATTGCAAAAACACAATATACAAGAACCGTACAAAAAATAAAAATTACAGATAAAAACTTCGTGTCCTGTCTTACTGATTTAAACAATTTTAATAAAATATCAATTTGAGAGAAAATTAAATTACTAAATTAATAAACGAACGTATTGGATAATATATAATTTGATGTGGATTAGAACACCTTTTATTCGAATATATTTATAATCCGCTAGTCAAATAATGAAATACTTGTAAATCTATCAAATAAAACGGTTTCAAAGAATTTTTCCCGCTTAATATTTAAATTAAGAAATCTCCTTGTGAGTCTAGATCTTCCGTGTAATCTTCCATCCAACTATCTAGACACACCACCATATAAGTCTTAATATGGATTGTATGTCGGTATTGTTATAAACCAAATAACATAATATGACGTATTGTCGATATCTTTGAATCAAAGTGTGACGGGTATTGGGTACGTTGTTTGCCAGCTTGGCATGGCGGCATTGATTCACCCGGTGTCTTGTAAACAGCCATAGAATGTATTTCGATTCTGCATAGATTTGCCCATAAAATAGTCTATGGCTTATACCCAGAAAGTATACATTGAATCAAGAAAGCCATTAGCTGACATTGAAGGCCAGCATCGCCGATAGCTAGCAAACGATTTGC